AGTAAAATGCCCCTGAGTTCAATTCCCAGTACCAAAGAAAAAAGGAAACCCAAATAAAATCTATCTTTAACAGGATTTTGTTTTTTTGGTTTTTCTGCAGCATTGGGAATTGAACATAGGAACACTTGGCCACTGAGCTACATCCCCAGCCTTTTGTTTTTGTTGTTTTGGGGGAAGGAGGGAGGGAGAATGGGGATTGAACCCTGGGGAGATTTACCATAAGCTATATCCTCAGCCCTTTTGAGACAGGGTCTCACTAAATTGCCCAAGCTGGCCTCAAACTTGTGATCACTGTCCCAAATAGCTGGGATCATAGGCATGTGCCACCAGGCCCTGCTAACAGGATTCTTATCAATGTTAATTTCTATTTTGATAAATGTACCAAGATTATGTTAGATGATAACATTAGAAAAGATTAATGACCAGTACCTAAGACTGCTAATTATCTCAGAATTACTAAATCGGGGAGGGGGGAGCTGAGGGGATACTTCAAGAGTCCACAAGCTTAATAATTTGCTATCTTTGAGTATCCTTTCTCTATTTCAAAATTAAAAACTAGTCACTTAGGTTCATAACTCAGAAAAAAACATTTTTCATCATATGAAAAGACAGATTACAGTTAATACTAATGCTTATTCATGAAACCTCTAAAAACAGCCTCCCGTTTTTTGGATCTCATAGACATCGGTGCACACACCGTAGGAAATCCTAAGAGTAAGCTGAGAAATTTTAATAAAAATTTGTCAATTTTATTAAATTAACAAAAATTTTAAACCTAGATGTACTTAAAGCATAGCCTACAGGCCTACATCCTACATAAATAGAGGATAACACAGCCTATAGGCCAGCACAGAAGATGGGAAAAGACTGGAAAAGTAGGTAGACACAACATTCAAGTTTCAGATTCTATATCCTTTTGGTTACAGCACCCTTTTAAGTACTACATGTGCACAAATTAGATATATTTGTGTTTCACAGCTTCAATTTTCAGCAAAAAATCAGAATACCTACAATGTGAAAGTACTTTTAAAAACATGCAAATCAAGGAGGAACATGAGTTCAAAGCCAGCCTCAGCAACTTAGTGAGACTCTGCCTCAAAATAAAAATTAAAAGGGCTGTGGATGTGGTGGTTAAGTGCCCCTGGGTTCAATCCCTCATACCAAAAAAACTAACCATGAAAATCAGTTGTGGTTGTAGCTCAGTATTAAAAGTTCATGCTTAGATCCTAGGTTCAATCCCTAGCAATAAACTAAAATATGCAAAAGAATAAAATACTCAAAAATTTTGTTATATAGTCCCCTAATACCCACCAAAAACTATATCCCTACAAAGCAGATGTGTCCCATCAAAGAAGCCAGATTTTCTCTGAATTGTGTTTACTTTTTATTCAATATCAAAAATGGAGCACATATGCTAAAAGGCAATATTTAAAAAAACCTGAAGACTTCATTTACTAGGTCACAATCCATGAGGAAAAAATTTATATTGCTTTCTGCTTTTTAACCTAATGTTTTTTAACCTATTCTTCATGTGTCGATGATTCTCACTCTTAACCCCATCACCTGGCTTGCAATTCAGTCTTCCCTACTAAGGCCAGATGAGGTTTCCACACTTTAAAACAGAAAGCTGATTTAAGATATAAAAATATAAATGTAGTTAGCTGCCAGTGTGATCAAGAACTACAAGTGGGATTACAGTTGCTGAATCTAAATTTAACTGCAGAGCTTGGAAGGACAGTTACAGGTTTTTCCCACTAACTGTTGCCAAAAGACTAGTGGGGGGAGGGGGTTTTGCTATTATATCCTTTGCAGAGTAATAGTTTTATCCAAGGCCATCAAAATGCATAATTTAATTAGATGAAGAGTACATAATGCCTACTTAAGGTCTGTAATTTTTAAATATCCAACCAATTCGCAAAATGTAAAAATATCAAGCAATTTTATTAAATTGACAAAAATTTTAAAAATGGTTTTAATAACAAATTCAGGCTTTATATTAAATCTCACTTTTACCATTGATCACATTTTCATCCTAAGAACTATATACAATTATAAAGCTATAAAAATGTAAAATTTTGTGTCCCTCACTTTCCCTGTAAAGTACTAAAACAAGTTATTAAAAAAAAAAATCCATGTTAAGTAACAACAACAAATACTTCACCATAGGTCAAGAACAAACATTACCAAAGTCTCCTAATGTTTCTGTAATGGATTGTCAGCTGAAAAGCAAACGGAGTTAAAGAACTGCCTCTTTTCTGCTAGAAACTGGATTGAAAGGACTGAACTCCAACAAAACTAGCCTAAAGCTGGGGACGTGGCTCAGTAGTGTCTGTCTGACATACTTGAGGCCCTGGGTTTGATTCCCAGGACCATGCACAGAATAACCTATGTCTTGGGTGAGAAGTAAGGGGACAAAGTCTTATACTACTCTATTATCCCAATTTACTTCAATTCACTTTGGGAGGGAGGGTACTGAGGACTGAACCCAGGGGTCCTATAACTGGAACTACATCTGCACCTCTTTTTAGTTTGAAAGTGTCTCAAAAAAAAGTTTGCCAAATTTGTGATCCTCCTGCCTCAGTGTTCCTGGCAGCTGGGATTACAAGCATGTGCCTGCCACCAAAGCCATTCACTTGTTCTTGTCAAACTAAAGCACAGGTCGTGACAGTAGCAATTTGTGAAATAATCATATAATGTTCATATTTCTGCCCACCTGATAACCATTTGCCTGAAGCCAATAAAAGTACAGGTTTGTTTTTAATATCTGAAGATGAAATTAATGAAAATATCCCTCAATTAACTAATGCATAATGTGTTTTCATTCTGATATATTTTGCCTGGAGCAATAATAAAGTTAGATGAACAAACTTAATACTTTAACTGTAAATGGTTATTTTATTTATTTATTTTAATGTGTTGCTGAGGACTGAACCCAGTCAGTGTCTCACATGTGCTAGGCAAGTGCTCTACCACTGAGCTACAACCCCAGCCTCTAAATGTAAGTCATTATTGTTTTAACTTTTTTTTTTAAAAGAGAGAGTGAGAGAGTGAGAGAGGAATAGAGGGGGAGAGGGAGGGAGAGAGGGGGAGGGGGGAGAGAGAATTTTAATATTTTTTTAGTTCTCCGCGGACACAACATCTTTGTTTGTATGTGGTGCTGAGGATCGAACCCAGGCTGCACGCATGCCAGGCGAGCGCGCTACCGCTTGAGCCACATCCCCAACCCTGTTTTAACTTTTAATAAATTATTCAAACTTAAGATAAAATGCAAACTGAATAGGTAACCTATGTATAGAAGGTAGGGTAACCTGAACAGCACAGAGTGCAAGTTTCAAGTAAAACAATGTTATAATCCAAAGCAATCTGTTATTTATTGTAACACCAGCAAAGGTATGAACTTGTCTGTACAATATTTTGATTCTTTATCTATTGCTACTTGCTGGTGAGAAACAAAAGGTAACTACTTGGTAAATACATTTATAAATACTAAACTACCTGACTTTTTAACTTCTTTACATGGAAGTCAATTTCAAATTAATTCAGAACTGGCCCCAAAACTTTTGTGCTATAAAGTTAATCATGTGAATCTAGAAACATAGGAACACTAACTTTATAAAACCAAGGAGTATACTGTGTTTAAAATAATCTAAAATGACAACTGTAAAAGAAAAACAAACTCTCAAGTTCTTGAAAGGTAAGAAAGGGGTCTTTGCATATAGATAGGATTCTAGTAGGATAAATGCAAAAAAAAAAAAAAAATTCTGAATGTAGACAGACTTATCCAGGAAAGACCCTGAACTACCCTAAGTATACTTTTCAATAAATCACAATCACTGGTTACTCACCTACAGTGATCCAGTTTATACTCTAAGGGGGCACCTTTCCATTCCAATTTCAAATGTTAGCCCAAGTGTCTGGTGAGATCTGAAATTCATTTTGAACCTTGTTCTCTTAATTAATTAATTGTAATGATAATCTCCAAGATTATCATTAAAAAAAAAAAAAACGGAAAAAGATTCAAGGTCTACTATCAGAGTCTAACTTCGGCTGGCGGGAATTTCCCATCACACTCTTATGACTTTCAAATCTGAGCCGGAACACTGTCCATGCTCATTTGCATTTTACTCATTCTTTACTTTTTCCAGAAGCTGATCGGTCACATCTATCCACTGTACAAATACAGGTAGGGAAGTAGCCTTTCCTTTGTCATAATCCCACTTCCAACCCAGGTCTCCCTGGAAAGTCCTAGGACTGGCCTGTACAAATACGCTGCTGCAGTCTTCTCTGCAGTTGGCCTTTCAAAGCTGAGGCTGACCTCAGGAGAAAGTGCTCAAGGGGCAAAGGTGCCCAGGGGGCGCACAAAGCTGAAGCAAAGAATAAGCTGGGTTGGAACCCAAAGAACACAGATCCAAATACCTTCCCCTTACCGTCTGAGTGCCTTTGACCAGGTCACTCCACTTCTGTGCCCTAGTCGCGATGAAATGAGAAAAATCGCACCTACCCCATTAGGTTGATGTGAGAATCACATGAAGTAGGTAAGTGGCTCAGCTCAGTGCCTGGCACAGTGAGGGATTAGAATCCTAGGTGCTATTGTCACTAACTCTCCAAGCACTCGCTGTTCCCTCAATGCTAACTCCTGTAAAGCCAGAAAGCGGCACTTCTGCTTTGCTGGCCTAAAGAGTTATCACGCTTCAGTATTGTCCCCATTCCCAGATTTAAAAAAAAAAAAAAAAAAACCCTCCTGATCCCTGCCGAGCCGTAGCTCGGTGACCATGCGAGGAAAGACTACCCGGCGCGTGGCGGATAAGGCAGGCGGGAAAAGCTGGCCAGCGGGCCGCGCAAAGCCCCCAGGCCGCGAGATCGCCAAGGGGCCCGGGCGGCGGCAGCTGCTCGCTCCCGCCCCGCGTGGCCGTTGGACGCGGCACGCGCACGCGGTGGACATGGCCACGCGCTCCAGGCAGCGGGGGTTGGGGAGTCGCCGCGCACTCGTCGTCCGCCGCGCGCGCCGGCGGCCGTTGAGGTGGGGGTGGGGGTATGCGGCTCGCGGGCGCTTCTCTGACTTCTCCTCTCTTTCACCACGGCTCCAACTGGTCCTCGTCCTTAGGCCGCACTGTCCCGCCCACACCCCAGCGTACCTGCGCGGCTGAGCGGGAGAGGAACAAGCTTTGCCCCACAGCACAGAAGGTGGCAGGAATCCCTCACGCAAGTGCGTCCGCACACACGCGTGCTCCGCCGCCGGTCTATATAACCGTGATTCAGCCTAACTTGTTGCAGCCAGGTCGGGGTAGCGGAGGACCAATCCTGACTGCGTCCTCTGAGCTCTTCGAATAGCAATTGGGTACTGACTCAGGATGAAGGCGTGGCTCTTGATTGGCTTTGACTCATGCCTATAAGACCGTGAAGATCCTGCTTCCCTATAAGGGATTGGCACTAAGAAAGGCCAATAACTTGAAAGCACACAGGGAAGGAGGGTGGGCAGTTCTTTGACCGATATCCAGGGTAGCCAATAACTACAGGGGACTGCTCTCATTGGTTAAAATGTCTTCCCCTGGGCGGAGATCCGTTTTCCTTGCAGGAGCGGTTGCTCCACAAGGTGGGACCCGTGTACTTTGGGGAAGTAAACCCCAAGCAACTAGGAGGTGGGCACTGGGGAAGCCAAGAAAGGCCCAGACCAATCACAATGCCGGAAGGAGCTGATTGACACGGGGGCTGGACTGTTCCAACAAGGCAGAGACCCAGCGCCGCCCGGACCCTCTGTGGCGGTTATGAGGCTGAGCCCGGTTTCTGTCCCCTTTCCTTTCTTAACTTCCCTTGGGTCCAGACCCTGAGACTCCTCTCCCGCCTTTCCGCAGTTTGGTACCCAAGGATCCAAATGGCAAAGTTGCTGGTTTTTTTAATTTATCATCCTTATTACAACTTTTTTCATTTCCGTGCGCTAAAGAGTACTTGCTGGCTCTTACCATTAGTCAGCACTATTGTTGGGCAACTGTTAGAGGAAAGCCGAAGAAAAGAATAGCTGTGTGTATGCAAGGTCCTGTAAAAAGGTCACACGCGAAAGCTATTGAGTTTGAGAATTTGCATTTCCATCCGGTTGCTTCTTGGCAGGTGCTGCTGCAGGTTGGCCCCATGGTCGATTCCTGGATCTTTCAGTGAAGTTTTGGGGGATTGTTACTGAAAAAAATGGCAGTTTTTATATTCTCCGATCAAGTTTTGGCCTCCATGCAACATCCTGTGCGTCACCACCATTGTCATTCCGTTTTCTTATTGCTGTGGGTGAGGGGGACTATTACTTCGTGGCGTTATGCTTTTAAAAGGTAACTTGCCAAGTCCTATGCGGACATCCTAAAGATCTTCCCGAAACACTTCACCGGTTAAGGAGCCCCAACCCGTTTCTGTCCGGTCTCGGTATTTTGCTAGGCCCTCTGTTGGTCACCAGGAGTATTTTATGTGGAAATAGCTTTGGTTCCCACGTGCTAGACATGGACACGCCCCGGCCCCGTTGTCTTTCCAAACATCTGACAATGCGGGAGGGTCACCGGTTAAGTTTTGCCGCAATTTTTTAAAAATGAAGTAACATGGAGCGTACCTGTTGGCACAAAAGTAGAGGAGGCGCTCCAACCCAGCAGCAACCTGGTGCGACCCGGGCGATGCCCACTTGCGTCCTTCCAGGGACCAGACCAGAGTCCGAAACTCACGCGGGGAGGCCCAGGAGCGACACGAAAAGTTCCTTTGGCCAGTAAGGCCGCACTTCCGTATCATTCTGGCTCATTCGGGCATTGAGATCTCCGGGTGCTGGGGTCGGAGTTGGTTGAAATGCAGTCGGGGTCACCCATTCAACAGTCAGACGCTGCGCTGACCCCGGAAACATGCACCACCGAGTTCTGCAAGCAGAGAGGAAACTGCGCACAGAGACACGCCGCTGAAAGTTTTCTAGAGTTAAAGAAACTCCGAGATAGTGCTAGCCATGCCAAGGAACTTGGGCTTTAATCTGAGGGCAATGGGGAACACCTGAAAAGTTTCTTAAAAGGATGGACTAAGAGATTGCAACTTTTTTTTTTCTAGATATTGTTTCCTGCATGGTTTGTCTCCACTGAGAAGTCGTAGGAATATGCAGGTGCAGACACAAAGCCCAGCTTCATGTCCAACATTGTGGAAAGGGACTGTACATCATGGGGCAGAGCCCTATGCTCCCCTATGCCACCTGGACAGAGCCCGGGGAGAGTGACCTCCTGGGTTATCCACGTTGGACGAGATTGCAACTTTTTTCCCCCAGAAAACTGTAAAACTTATTGATAATTTTAGCAATCAAGGTTGAAATATCAAGACTGCACGCGTGGCTCTAGATTGTCTTCTTTTCAACCCTTAATGGTACTTAAATTGCTTCTGGCATTTTAAGGGGTTCTAGATTTGATAGAATTCCATGCTTGGCATCAGAACCATCTCCACCTTGCACTTTTGGCCTCACACAGTTCCTGGAAATCAGCTTCCAGGTCAAGCCCTTGAAGCTCAGATTTCAGATGCTCCTTCGCTTTCTCCCTCTTGACCAGGTGTGATACCCTGACTTTCAGGTGGGGTGGATCCTCTTGTTGAGGTTGTTCATCACTGAACTGGGAAACGATAAGCTCAAGCAGATGAGAAAACTCTCTACCTATAGATTTGGATCTCAATATTATTTTTTAACTGATGTTTCACATGACTGAGTCTCAGTTGGCTAAAAAGAATGAAGATACCTGGGGCACTAACTCTTGCATATCGCTAAGCACAGAAAGCAATGGCATGATGCATGCACAGTGGAGACTTCAGTTTCCTAGATGACTCCCGGAACTGTAAGGCTAATGAGTGCAGATGGGCAAAATTTTACATTTATGGATTGGTAATATAACCCAAGTGGCCTGAATTATGTACATTCCTCCAAAACAACAATACTTTTTAGCCACATTTGTTGACAAACACAGGTACCAAAGTGTTCTGCAGCACTATCAGAATGCTTGAAAACAAATTTTCATCAATTGGCAAATTTTTAGGTGATATGCATATAATATTAAATGCAGCAGTTTTAAAAATAAGGTGGGTTCTGTCTCCAGTTGTTAGTTGGATTAACAATTGTTAAAATTGAGATTTCTGTAGGTTAAAATAGATATATAAGTGTATAGAGAAAGTGCTACATTTAAAATAAGAGTCAATAACCTCTAGGGGATCCACTAGATTGGGAGCAATGAAGCTAATGTGAAGGAAGAGGGAATGGATAGTGGGGGAGAAGTTGGCAGGACATCTCAGATGTCTATTGCTATCTCCCAGAGGAGGGAAAGCAAGTTGGCATTCTCCTGTGGTAGTTTCCCCACCCATATTAGAAACCCTTGAGCCCCAGATGCTGGATACTTAGTACTTGGTAAATGTTCCATGAATAACTTACCACTAATGAATTGTCTAAAGCAGTGGTTGGAGTAGGGGTGGGGGTCATGGCCACAATTGGGTAGGGGGGCTATTGGCATCTACTAGATAGAGGCCAGGTATGCACAGGAGAGTGACCCCATAACAAAAAAAAAAATTATCCACCCAAAAAATCAACAGTGCTGTGGCTAAGAAACCCTAGTCAAGTTATCTTAGTCTTCTAAGGGAAAGTCCCTGGCCTCTTTCTGGTCTTTTATCTCCACCACAAAGCAAAATCTGCAAACCCCTGCACAAGGCTACTTCACCTTGCTCTTTCTGCCGGTTCTTGTCAAATCTCATAGAATGGGGGGGCAGGGGGAAACATGGGCAAGACCTCAGAAGATAGTATGACAGGTAGTGAATGGGAAATATTAGGTAAGAAATCGTCTGATCAGTTTAACCCAACATAGTAAATCACTCGTGAAGGGTGATTAAAAATACTCACTGCAGTATTCTTTGTAGTAGAAAGAGACTGGAAATAGCTCAAATGTCTGACTACACAGGGCGATTAGAAACAATACTACAATGCATATATTTGCAGGGGATTCTCATGCAATCATATGGAAAATGAGAGCAGATCTACATGTTCAGTTAAAGAATGATCTCCAGAAGATACTAAGAAAGCAAAGTGCAGAATATTAGGGAGAGAATACCTAATAGCATTTGAGTAAAAAGGGGTAGAAGGATGCCTTTTTCTATTAAGACATGGGTATTGCTGTAGTTATATGTATACATTCCTGTATGGTTTTGCTGTATATGCATAAGTCACAAGAAACTGTTAAAGATTCCTAACAGGGAGATGAACTTCAGCCAGGACAGGAAAAAGGCTGTTTTCATTCTGTACTCTTTGGTAATGTATGATTTATTTTTAAAGTGTCTATTAGTTTTCATAAAAATTAATGTTAATTACAGATTATGAATAACATAAGGAACTACAATAGACAGATTTTGAACTTTAAACAGGATAGAATACTCTATTACCTCTTGTGGGTGGGTACGTGAAGGGTCTTGAAAATGAGGCATCAAAGTTGTAATCTGCCTCTTCTGGACTGCTAACCTCTTTTCCTCTTGCTTCTACCCAAATATCCAAAGAGAACTTGAAGCTGCACCTGTACTCCCAGCTGCTGGGGAGGCTGAGGCCAGTGCTGCAGCCAACCTCAGCCACATAGTGAGAACCTATCTCTTAACTGGGGGGGGGGGGAAGTGCTCTCAAAGAGAAGTTTACTGGCTTAGAAATTCATGCCTAATTGAATTTCCCCCTCTGGCTTTGACTGTCTGCAAACACATATCCTCAAACTGTGGGGCACTGACCATGAGCCAGGCTTCTTGCTAGTATTTTTGTCAAGGAAAAAACCTCATTTAATATTCACAAGCCCCTCTTTTCCATTTCTCAAGTACAGAAACAAATTCAAAGATGTTAACTTGCCCAAGATCACACAACTAGGCCTAGAAGCTACAACTCTGATTTTTTTTTTTAAAGAGAGAGAGAGAATTTTTAATATTTATTTTTTAGTTATCGGCGGACACAACATCTTTGTATATGGTGCTGAGGATCGAATCCGGGCCGAACGCATGCCAGGCAAGCGCGCTACCGCTTGAGCCACATCCCCAGCCCCTACAACTCTGATTTCCAAGTCCATGTTATTTTACCCACTTGTTAATACTGCCCAGAAGGAGGATAAAGCCCTGACTACAGGGACATTGTCTCCTGGGAAACTCCCGAAAGGCTGGGATTATTTTTTCCCCCTTAGGCATGACATCAGGTAATCCTACAGAGACAGATTTCCAAGTGGTTTGAAAGTTATGGAGTCCAAGACAAAAGTCCTTTGCACATTTGGCACATAATACACCTTTAAGAGTCCTTACTTCCTGTGGCTTAGACAAGGCTAAATAACATTGTGTCAAACACTACTACATGTCAGAGTGCCAGTCTGTTTTTCCATTCATCCTCACAAAAAACAACTCCAGTCGAGAAAGTTTTGATGACTAGCTCAAGATTACATAGCTTGGAAGTGGTGGAACTGGTATTTAGCATCAGGGGTTTTTTTTGTTTTGTTTTTTTAAAAACTTCTCCCGGAGGAGGAAGGGGAGAGGTCTTCCCTCTTTATTTTTTAAGAGAGTAGATGGACACAACACAATGCCTTTATTTTTATGTGGTGCTGAGAATCGAACCTGGGTTGCGCCCCTGCTAGGTGACTGCTCTACCCCTGAGCCACAATCCCAGACCTCAGCATCAGGTTTTTATCAATATAAATTTGAAGCCCAGTCAGGCACAGTGGCTCACATCTGTAATCCCAAAGACTAAGGAGGCTGAGTCAGGAGGATGGAAAATTTGAGACCAACCTCAGCAACTGGGTGAGACCCTGTCTCAAACTACAAAATAAAAAAGGGCTGAAGATGTGGCTCAGTGGTAGAGTGCTATATATATGCTCATTCCATCAAATTTTGAAAAATGATTACTAATATCAAATGTTAGCAAAAGTGCAGGGAAATAATTATTATGGTTAATACATAATGTAAATTGACATGGGCTTTCAGAGAGCAATTCGAAAGCATCTATTAAGTTTTTTGTATGTGTGGTATTGGGACTCAAAACCAGGGCTTTGAGCATACTAATCATGTGCTCTACCATTGAACTACACCCCAGCCCTCTGAAAATTTTAAATCCACCTATTGTAGGAAATAGAAATGCTACTTTTTGGTGTTCGTTCTGAAAAAACTCTCCCACACATATAGAGAGAACAAAGATAGCATTGTTTGTAATTTTTAAAATAATCTAAAACAGGGAAATAATGTCAACAAGGGAATAGCTAAATTTGCTATATTGTTTATGCAGCAATTGAAAGATTTTTTTAAAAAATTTTTATTGGTTTTATGTTTTATTTTTTCTTTATAGCTTTATTTTATTTATTTTTATGTGGTGCTGAGGATCGAACCCAGGGCCTCCCACACGCTAGGCGAGTGCTCTACTGAGCCACAACTCCAGCCCAGCAATTGAAAGATTAATCTAGTTTAAATATATGCATAGGGGCTGGGATTGTAGCTCAATGGTACAGCACTTGCCTCTCACATGTGGAGTACTGAGTTCCATCCTCAGCACCACATAAGAATAAAGGTATTATATCCATCTACAACTAAAAAATAAAAAAAAAACATATGCATATCCATGTTTATGTATATTCATTTACCTAGAAAATATATGTAACAACATTATATACAAAACATGAATCTCACGAGGTACGGTGGTTCACACCTATAATCCCAACTACTCAGGAGGTTGTAGAAGGAAAAACACAAGTTTAAGGCCAGTCTGTGTGACTTAGTAAAATAATGTCTTAAAATTGAAGAAAAAAATGTTATAGGAAGCTGTTGTTTTAAACTAAACTACTGCCCTGGGGCCCAACAGACCAGGTTAAAAAAAAATGGACCCCCTTGGGCTGGGGATGTGGCTCAAGCGGTAACGCGCTCGCCATACGTGCGGCCCGGGTTCGATCCTCAGCACCACATACAAAGATGTTGTGTCTGCTAAAAACTAAAAAATATTAAAATTCTCTCTCTTTGAAAAAAAAAATGGACCCACTCATGCTAAAGTTCCAGTTACCAAGTTTATCTGACCTTCCAGAGAAATCAGGATTTGAGATAATAGCCAAATTTCTTCTATTAGCCTGTTTCAATTGTCATGATAATGAGATTCCCTCTGCCTTAATCCTTTCACACACCAAACAAGGTAACCTGAAGCAATCTGGTGTAAACTGACCCATTCTTTTTCATTGCTCTGTTTCCCTGTGCCCATCTTACAGGGAAAGTAACTTTGAAATGACTCATCTGCTTTTTGGTTTTTGTTTGTTTTCTACAGGTCTTTTCTGTCTTTAAAAGCAAACTCTTCTGTTCTCTGTTTATGAGAATACATTGTATTTTTTTAGTTTTATTTTTTAGTTGTAGATGGACATAGTGTCTTTATTTTATTTCTATTTTTTTTTTTTCACCTGGTGTTGGGGATGGAACCCAGTGCCTTACACATATTACACAAGTGCTCTACCACTGAGCCAGCCCCCAGAGAGCACATTGTATTTTATGGAACAAAGTGTGGTCTGATTCTAGTGTTGAAAAGATCATTAAACTAAATTATTGTTTGATAATAGAAAAACATCTGAATGTATATACAACAATCTGATAGCAATTGCTATGTCTGTGAAAGAGTGATCGTAAGGGTTTTAAAGGTACTTTTTCTTTATGAGTATTGTTTTATAATTTTTTTATATTAAAAAACTTTTTATATACTGTACAATTAAAAAAATTGTCATAATCCAAAAAGTAGTTCCTGGGTACTTATTGTGCACTAGTCACAAGGTTGAATGTTTTATGAGTCTTTTTATTTCTCACAACAGTACCAAGTAGATCTAATAATTACCTTTATTTTACAGGGGAAGAAAGAGGTTCACAGAGGTTAACTGCCTGAAATGATGGAAAATGAATGTGAGCTTGTCTCATTAAACATACCTTTAAAACCCTGAAGTCTAGAGGTCTCTGAAAGAGAATCTAAAAACCAGAGGGCAGCCAATAAAGGTTCTCTGACTCTTGGCTGCGGTGTTGGGAGTACACTTAAGCAGTGTTGGGGACTGTGGTGTCCAGACAG